CCCACCCCCACACACCTCATCCAAGGCAATTTTCCCAAAACTGCTCCATGCAACAGTAAGTGATCCCCAATTCTTGTCCCCGGGATTGGTACATAAAAAGTGATGTCTCATGACAATAATGATGATGATGATGATGATGATGATGATAATGTAAACAAGATTAATACAATAATAGAGAAAGAAACAGATGGATATCATGCAGTAATAATAAATAAATGAATACATTTACAGCCAAAGTAATCGTAACAACAGAATACACTTTTGTAAAAGGCAACTTCCAATAAGAGTCCAAAGGCTTTGAACGTGAGGGGACGAGGAAGGCGTAGGGTTCCCACATCTCGGACAAGATCATGTTTTCTTTTATAGTTTTAATTTTAGTTTTGGTAAGAAAACTGGTCTGGTGTGTATGTGTTCATGTGATCAAGTTTGTACGGTTCCAAGACCAGGTTTGTTAGTGTTCACCGTTAATTTCACTATAGTTTGATGTGCTAATGTCCCTGTGATCTGGTGAGTTAACATCTACTGTTAATTTCAACGTGATCTGGTTTATTCATGTCCACTGTTAATGTCCACCGTTAATGTCCTCTGTTAATTTCAACGTGATCTGGTGTGTTAATGTCCACGTGATCGAATTTGTGATTGTCGACACATTATCTGTTACTGTCCCAGTGATCTGGTGTGTCAGTATCCACTGTAAATGTCCCCGTGGTCTGGTGTGTCAGTATCCACTGTAAATGTCCATGTGATCTCTAGTTTGCTAATGTCCACTTAATGTCCACGTTATCTGGTGTTTTAGTATCCACTGTTAGTATTACTGTCCATGTGATCTGGTGTGTTAATGTCCACTGTTACTGTCCACGTGATCTGGTGTGTTAGTATCTACTGTTACAGTCCACGTGATCTGGTGTGTTACTGTCCACGTGATCTGGTGTGTTAGTATCTACTGTTACAGTCCACGTGATCTGGTGTGTTAGTATCTACTGTTACTGTCCACGTGATCTGGTGTGTTACAGTCCACGTGATCTGGTGTGTTACTGTCCACGTGATCTGGTGTGTTAGTATCTACTGTTACAGTCCACGTGATCTGGTGTGTTACTGTCCACGTGATCTGGTGTGTTAGTATCTACTGTTACAGTCCACGTGATCTGGTGTGTTACTGTCCACGTGATCTGGTGTGTTAGTATCTACTGTTACAGTCCACGTGATCTGGTGTGTTACAGTCCACGTGATCTGGTGTGTTACTGTCCACGTGATCTGGTGTGTTACTGTCCACGTGATCTGGTGTGTTACTGTCCACGTGATCTGGTGTGTTACTGTCCACGTGATCTGGTGTGTTACTGTCCACGTGATCTGGTGTGTTACTGTCCACGTGATCTGGTGTGTTAACCACTCCACCAGGGATCCCGGTCAGAGCACCGCGCTACGTCACCTTTCCAAAGTGATTAAACGGCCACCTTCATTGTCAGTTAGAGAAAAACAGAGACAGCTTGGCTTCTGTCCTGTCTATCTAGTCTTTGAGTCCGAGTCTGGCAAGTGTTTTACAGCGCTCGCAACTGCATAAGGTCATATGAGCGAACTGTTTAGTCTATCCGTTTCTCCCAAACTACCACAGAAAAGGAACAAAAGTTTCCAAGAACATGGCAGAGTCAGACGACTTTGTAAACATGACAGATAGTGTAAATTGGATAGCTGGGATACATTACAAGAGCAAAATTGGATATACTATTGATACAACAGCCTAAATTGGTCATACTGGAACCATGACAAGCCCAAAGATGGAATTATTGGAGATATGACAAAGTGAACTGGAGACATGTCAAGCTCAAATTTGGACTTACTGAAGACATGAGGAGCTTCATTTGGACGACAGATGTTTGGTAGGAAAGAAGGAGCAAACTACATCAGAACACCCTTTAACCACCCAACTTAACAAGTTTAAAAAAATTGATGAACATTCTGGAAAGGTGACAAGCATATTTGAACAAACTGGAAATAGGACGTACACAAAATTGGACATACCGACCGGAGACGTGATCACCACAAATCGTACACACTGGTGGAAACATGACGAGCGTAAATTGGACAGGTGAGACACCCAAGAGCTCTCACCAAGGCTGTTGGAAGGAATGAAAGATGGCTCATGTGGCGGCAGTTTTAAATAATAATATAATGTGAAAGAAACAATTTCTCCCAGGAAGTTATAATTTAAAAAGTAATAATAATAATAATAATAATAAAAAATATGTACAAGATGCTGTTAGTTGTAGGGAGGTATGAGATACAAGTGTTGCCGTAAGAATTATAATTCAGTCCCAACCAACGCCGGGCTGGACAGATCATGCTAGGGAAGGAAAAAGTGGGGAAAAAAGACAGCCACACAACACCCAGCACAGTGGAGAAAATGGGAAAAAGGCGAAAAACATCAATGAGTAGAGTAGAGACGAGTCATCCACGCGGTTACCGTCCCAGGAGTCTATGAAGGAAACAAGGCAATAGTGGTGGTGGTGGTGGTGGTGGTGGTGGTCGTCTTGTCAGGAGTGAACATAGTGGACCAGGCAGGCTACAGTGGTCAAGTCATCGGACATAACATTCTGCACACAATTAGGATAAAAGTACAATAATAATAATAATAATAATAATAATAATAATAATAATAATAATAATAATAATAATAACAATAAATAATAATAATAATGATAATGATAATCATAACTATTATCTTCATAATTATAAATAAAAATAGCATGAAAGAAAATAGATCTAATAATAATAATAATAATAATAATAATAATAATGATAATATTAATAATAATCATAATCATAATCATAACTATTATGTTCATTATTATAAATAAAAATAGCATTAAAATAATAATAATAATAATAATAATAATAATAATAATAATAATAATAATAATAATAATAGTAATAATAATAACGATAAAATGATCATAATAATTATAACAATGATCATGACAGTAATAATAATAAATAATTATAATGAAATTAAAAATAGTAAGGATAACAGTGTCATAACAGTATAATAATAATAACAATATCAATAATAATAATAACAATAATAATAATAATAATAATAATAATAATAATAATGATAATAATAATATTATGTACAGTCAATGGGTCAATGGTAGTCAGAAGAATTGAGGCTGGCAGCATCAACATGGTAGTAAGGTGTCCTTGCTAGAATTATACGGACAGAGATACAATGTACACTCAAAGAGAAAATGTATTTCAAAACTTGTCACACCAAACTGAGCCTGGAGGCTCGCGGAAACCTTGACTGCACACACCCGAAACATGACAGTGGCATCTCCCAGTGACACATGACAGTGACACATGACAGTGACACATGACAGTGACACATGACAGTGACACATGACAGTGACTCATGACAGTGACAGATGTCAGTGACACATGACAGTGACAGATGTCAGTGACACATGACAGTGACAGATGTCAGTGACAATGCACACAAGCACTGGCAAAGATGTTCTTGTGTTTTTCCACCTTCTAATCTTTTTCCCTATTTCCCGAATCCAGTCGGGCATAGACCACACGAACGTGGAAACCTGGCAATCATGGATAGCTGGCCCAATCTGGCTTTACCTGACGGATATCTCTTTAATTTTTCTTTATCTGTGAACCCAACATATGGATGCGTCGAAGAAATTTGTAAATCCCTGATCTGTTTAGTTATTCGTGCTCAACTGCACCCATACTTAGGCTCGCCAACTTAAAACAAATTCCTGTCAGGGTCATCTAACTTTAAAATATCAGATTTCGTAACGGCAAACAAAGTCACGTAAAGTGGGGCTTAGCCATCTGTCTTCCATCTATCAATCCACCTGATATTCCATCTGTCAATCCACCCAATCCATCTGTTTTTCCATCCGTCAATTTACCTGTCACCCAACTGTCATTCACGATTCACATTGAAAAGACCTGTATACATAATATATTGTCGCTTTTAAGCACAAGGGGGCTATCCCGAAAAATGCTGTTTTGACAAAACCAGAGGTAAAGTTTTTGCCCCTTGTTCAGTTTCTTTAAAAGACAAGGAGAGTTTTCTCTATAACAAAAACAAATATACACACCGATGAAACCAAACTTCTCCTATAGGTAGGACAATGCCCACTTTTGGTGTAGGTCAAGATTTCTGGAAACCCCCGAAATCTGGATTAGCCAGCTTGTCCTTAAAAGCGACCATATAATATATATAGTATATGTTTTACAATAATTCTGAATGGACAAAAATTTGATTACACTTGAGAGAGAAGAAACCCCCCAACCCTTAAGTGTATTTTGGAATCTATTGTCCCCATCCTTCATTAGCATGCCTGCAGTGGGCTGAGAGCAAGGATCTTTTCCTCGCTACCGCTCCTACTTTTGGCGGGAACCAGCACACCTAACACATTTAGTTTTAAATTGCTGAAATACCAAGGCAGCCAAGACCACAGCATTTTGCCGGGACCATCATCATCATCATCCTCAATATCATCATCACCGTCATCGTCACTGTCATCATCACCATTCTCAATGCTATTTTAGTTATTATAATCACAGTAATGATAATAATAA